GAAAAAACCCCCAAAAAAAAAAAAAAAAAAAAAAAGAAAAGAAAAAGTCAGAAGTTGAAGCTCTCTCACACTGCTAGAGGGGATGTAAACGTGTCCAACCACCTTGACAAACTGATTGGCAGTATCTACTATGATTCAGCAACTCTACTCCTAAGTATATATCTAATAGTATGTGTTTTGTTTTAAGATCAAGTTGGCAGTTCCATAGGATGTGTTCATTTTGTGAAAAAGTCATTGGTCGGGACCAGCAGACAGCATAATGGTTATGTCACTGGACTCCCATGTAGTCGACCGCAGTTAAGTCCTGGATTTGCGGCTTAAAACTCACATCGGACGTGTCTGTGCATGCCAAATATCTCGAAAGGAGACTGAAAGAGAAAGGATTGTGGCATGGCCATCCCCTCTGGGGCGGGAGGGGTGATTTCTCACTTTCTGTCTGTCTGTCTGTCTCTCTCCATCGAATGTATGCACCCTACAGCAAAAATGTCTAATAAAAAATGTCATTGGGGTATATTCTTGAGGCTTGGGCACTTTTCTTTCTTTATGTTTCACTTTAATTTAAAAATAAAACTTCGAGGCCAGCAGTTAGCATAGTGGTTAAGGCACTGGACTTCCATATGGCCAGCTGCAGTTAGAGTCCCAGACGCAGCAGCTTGAAACTCTTGACATAAGCGTGTGAGTGCATGCCCAAAGTTCCAAGAGGAAAATGGAGGAGAAGGGATTGTGCTTTGACCATTCCCCCTGGGGGATGATTTTGTGCTTTCTGTCTCTGTCTTTCCAGTGAGTATACACACTCTATAGAAAAATCTCTCAAAAATAAATAAATAAAAATAAAACTTTGTTTTTAAGAAAGTGTCAGAGGGTCCAGCAGGTGGCAAGGACTGGACTCCCATGTGGCCAACTCTGGTGTAAGCCCTGGACCTGGCAGCTAGAAAATCACACGAGGAGCAAGTGTATGCCTGCCCAACATCCAAGAGGAGAAGGGATTGTAGTGTGGCCATTCCCCCGGGGCATGATTTCTCACTTTCTCTATGTCTATCTCCAGCAAGCACACACTGGAGAAAAATGAAAAATTAAAAAGAAACAGCTTCGGAGAACAGAAGGATGTATATTTATGATCCAACAAAATTGTCAAGTATTTCTTGTACTTAAAATTCAGGTCTGTCATGAGTTAAAATCATGAGTAATAAATTGAAAATATTCACTGTACTTATGTTAGCGTCTAACATAAAATGATTCTTAAAATGGAAACTTCAGTGATAGAATGCCTGGAATGGAAACTCATCTCCACCTCTGCCTCTTCCTGTGACATTGGACAAATTATTTTACCATTTCCTCACCTATAAAATGGAGGTACTGGGAAGGGAACCAACCTCGGAGCTGTGAATGTTCAATAAACTGACCTATACGCAAGGTCTGTGGCACAAAGCAAGCACTCAGTAGGTTCTGTCGTCTTTATTAACATTAATGTCTGTTTAACAAGTATTTGTGGATGCTTTGCTCTGTGTAAGACATAAAGGGTTCCTACTGGGATGAGAAAACTGAAGGACACGAAATGATTAAACCCTGTGGATTTAAAACCTGGACAGCCTAGGCCTAGGACCCACACATACTGCACTGTAGACGGATGTTTGCTACTGCCGTTACCGAGGTGGGCGCTGAGGATTCCTCGTTCACTTCACTTATGGCCGGAGACTGGCAGGTGGAAGGCATTAATTCCATCCACAACTTGGAGGTTTGATCTGAGCACTAGAAATGGATTTAAGCATAATGGGCTCTTAGAATTAAATTTCAAGAAGAAAAGATAGACAGAAAATTCACATAAACTCTTTCAACACCAGCAAAAATGATTCTAGGGCTCTCCAGCCCTGTGGGTGGCTGGCTCCATTTGAAATAAACTAACGCAGGTTGGTGGAGCTCAGGGCGTAGGGCCATTATAATAATGATTATGTATAGTTTCTGGAATGTTCGTTCACGTTCACCTCACAAAAACCAGTCACTGAAGAGCTCGCATCACAGCAAAAGCAATGCCTTTCTTCCCATCCTGGAAAGGTTTGTTTCAGGCTGGGTCCCCAAATCTTAGGGCTTGCCATTTTCTCCCCGAAGGTATGTTTAGGGGCAGGAGAAAGTGCCCTGCGGGTAGGCACGGTCCGCTGCTCCTGCACTCCCTCCCACGTGTGAAAGGAAGGTCGGAGCCGCTTTTCCCGCCCGACCTGGGACTCAAGGAGTGGGCGGGCCGCGTCGTCCCCGAGCCCCGCCCCTTCCCGTGGCCCCGCCCACAGTTGCTCCTGACTCCCGGGCCGCTCGGGTAGCGGAGGCCGGGGGCGGGCCTCACCCCTTGCCCTCGGGGTCCCCCGGGCTCCGCCAATCAGCGAGCGCCATGTTGGCCATCCGCAGCCCTCGGCGCCCCTCCTTCGCCCGCCGGCCTCCGCGTCCCAGAATCCAAGATGGCGGGCTCCTGGCAAAGGGGTCTCCAGGCCGGAGCTCGGCCGTTTCTCTGCGCCCTGCTCCTGTCGCTCAGCCGGTTGGGCGGAGGCGACGGCATGGGAGGCCACCCTGCAGCCGCCGGCGTCGCGGGTACCCCGGCCGCGCAGCCACATCGCCGTTTCGAGTACAAATACAGCTTCAAGGGGCCGCACCTGGTGCAAAGCGACGGGACCGTGCCCTTCTGGGCCCACGCGGGGAGTAAGCCGGGGCCGAGGGCGGGGGTCCGGGTCCCTCCCCGCCTTCCGCCGCCGCCTCTTCATCCCCAATCCACCGATGCCTGGGTGTGCTAGGGTTCGTTCCGGGCGCTGCACGCTGTCCTAACTGTGGAGGGGACCCTCTGGGCAGCTCCTCCTTCGGGTCCCCTCCGGCCCGCGAAGCTCCGGCCGCCGGGTCCACTGCCCCCCTCTTGTCTTTCGTTCTGTGATCTTATTGTTACTTTCCATTTGATCTAGAGGTGTTTTGTTACTCCCTACGCTTCGTAACACTCAAACTCACTTCTAGGCATCACGTTTCACCCTAACGCCACGTCTCTAGGGGACACGTCCCCCACCGCCAGCCATCCCTGTCCGAGACCAGTTTAGCAGCCTCCCTGCCTCCTTTACGCCTTCCCCGCGCTGCTTGCTTCTCTCCGGTGTTAGCAGGAATTTGATGCTACAGTTTGACGGCTCCAGAGATGGCATAGATTGGTCTCGGAGTAATTTAAGTCTTGGTGTCGGCAGACATTCTTCAGCTGTTGGAACTGCACTTTAAATTTGCCTCTCTTAGTGACTTGATGTGGTCCTTGATCTGTTTCTCTTGTATCGACACATTATGTAACTTTATAGTCACACTCTTTTAGTTAGTGGGAGAAGGGATATATTTTTGGGGTATTGATTGTTTCTGAACCCGAGACTAAGAATAGCATTATATGCTCGGCCCCTTTAAAAACTGTTTTGAGAGCTAATCGAAATGACCTCTGCTTCATGTGTTTGACACTCTGATAGATAAGAGAGCCTTGCATTTACCTATGTGAAAGAAAACACATTTGCCCTTTTTAGTGCTGATGTGTCACTGCTGACTAAGGAATAAGCCCGAGCACTTGGCATGCCATAAACTCTGTTCACTGACCATCAGATACACTCTTTGAAACAAGTGACAAATGCCTTTATATGAACGAGAAGCTCTGGCAATTTGAAGTCCATCTTTATGTACAATTAAGCAATCGTTTATATAAGGCTTGTTTGGGATTGTCCAATTCTTGAAACAAATGTTTCATTTCTAGAAAGTAATTCTTGACTAGGAAAACACTCTTTTAGGAAGGGCCATTCCCCTCAAATTAATGTATAATTATAAGATATAAATTTCAGATTAACTTAATGACCAAAGTCATCAAGTATTTGAAGTAGGGTGCACATTATTTTGTTACTCAGCAGGCATTTCTGTGCCCACTGGGCAAGGGCATAAATTACTGGGCTTTTTTTTTTTAATCAAGGTGACACAGAGATAATGCCAAGGATACTGAACACAAGTTTGGGGTTTTTTGTTTGTTTGTCTCTTCTTTTTGGAATGATGAATTTTACAGTAATGGTGATGGATTTTTTCACTTTCTATCTCTCTGTCACCTCTCCCACTGGCTCACACATGCCACATCAGCCAATTAGGACTTTGTTTTTATTTTTACTTTTCTGACTTATTTATATTTAATCATGTCTTTCAGTGTACAATATTTCTTTTTCCAAGTACAAATACCATGCATGTCAGTCAAGACAAAGATATTACTAAATACATTATCATCAACAAATAGCTTCTCATTTTTTTTGTCAGTTAAGCAGTTTTATTTGTTTTTTCCTTCCCTTTTCCCTCCCCCTCCCTTCCATGCTAAACATTTTTTCCCCACATTTTTGATTCACAAAAGATCTTAAACTAAAAATACAGTCAAAGCTAGAATCTAGTGACAAGTGCACTGCAATTTTCTACTGAAACATGTTTTCTCTCTCCATTCCCCCTTTTACTAAAGAGAAATATAATCTAACTTACTTGCAAAAAAAAAAAATTAGGTTAGTCTTAATTTGGTCTGTTATTTGCAAAAAGTCCCATAAGAATTCAATTTCTGATACAAAGCAACAGGTACTATTTGTATTATTGAACTCATGCAAATAACCATTCTGTGACAAAATAAGAATGCTCACAAATATTTTCCAATTGCACAGGTGTCAGGAAGGGAGAAAAGTTATTCAATTAAAACTTTTTTTGGAGCGAGGACTAGCAGGTGGCGTGGTGGTTACTCCCACATGGCTGACCATGGTTTGAGTCCTAGACCTGGTGGCTTGCGCGCGCTCTCTCTCTCTCTCTCTCTCTCTCTCTCTCTCTCTCTCTCTCTGTGTGTGTGTGTGTGTGTGTGTGTGTGTCTCAATTTTTTTTTTAATTTTGAATGAATAAATAAAATTAAAATCTTTATTTTATTTTATTTATTTATTTATTTTACAAATCACTGAACCTATCAATAACTCAAACCCCAAATCCTTAAATCTGGAAAACAAAGAAGAAAATCAGTAATGTTTTAGACAAAAGTGATAGAATTCTATTTTACCAGTTCTGTCTATGTAATCCCTCTTGTTGAATTTATAGTGTTACTGTGATTTGATGTCTCCTCTTAAATCCTGGAAGTTAACATTCAACATTATTATTGATATTGCCAAACTTGTCCTTACTGTTAAATAAGGCTTTCTTGGTCATTTTTTTGTTCTCTTATTTCTGTCTGACTAGTTTTCCTGGTATAGCACTCCCTTCAGAACTTCTCCAAGAGCTGGTCTGGCATTGGTAAATTCCTTCAGGTTTTGTTTATCTGAGAATGTTTTGGGGTTTTCTCACATGAAGGATAATCGTGCTGGATATAGTATTCTTTGTTTGAATTGTTTTTCACTTAGTACTTTGAATATATTTTCCCATTCTCTCCTTGCTCACATTGTTTCTGACCATTTTAGTATCTTATCTCTGTCTGTGGATTTGGTCAATCTGCCTGTGATGTACGTTGGAGAAGATTTTCTTGGATTGATTCTATGTGGGGTCCTATGTATTTCTTGGGTCTGGATATTTGAATGCCTTTCTAGATTTGGAAAGTTTTCTTGCAGGATTTCATGGGGTAGATTATCAATGCCCTAGTTTCTTCACCTTCTTGGATATTGATTATCTGGATGTTAGGGCATCTAATGGTACTAGTATTACACATATATTATTCTCATGGGGGAGGTATTTTCTCTGTCTTTCTGGCGAATTTTTCTAGGTCAGAGATTCTGTATTCTACATCTGAGATTCAATCTTCTGCATGCTCTAATCTGCTTTTAATGCTTTCAAGAGACAGTTTGATTTCCTGTATTACAGCCTTCATCTCTAACAGTTCCGTCTGATTCTTTTTTATGGTATGTATTTCCTCTTTGAGATCATACAAGAACTTCCTCACCTCCTGGAACCCATTGTCTCTTTTCTCCTATATCTTCTGGAGTTTGTTGGCTCTCATCTCTTGCATTTCTCTTAGATTTGTTCTTTATCTGACATTTCCACAAGTTCCATTGTACAGTCTGCGTATGATGAAGGACTGTTCTTTCTCCTTAGGGGAGAGATATATTCTTGGTTTCCCGTATTTCTTATACCCCTTCAGTGGTTTCTGGTCGTTTCATGGATTATATGTTACATCCTACTTTTTTTTGGTGTTAGTTCTGACTGTTAGAGGCATGCCAGAGGAGATGGCCTGCAATATTTCTGTTGTTTCGTTTCCCTGATCCTCATCAAGCAACCAGCACTTTTGTAGATGGAACTGGATATTACAAAGGCTGCACAGTGTTTTGGGAATAGGTATACCTGGGCTGAGCTGCAGGCTTTCAACTGAGAATTCAAGGTATGTGGGAGGAGATGAGCCACACTTACTGCAGCTCCGTATTTCTCCCTGCTGCTCACTGTGCAGTCTCTCTTCTCTGATTTTTAGTCATTTGGTGGTATATTCAGGTTTGGCTAATTTGTTTGGCTAATTTGCTACTATAAGTGCTTATGCTTCACTTTTCTGTGAGGTACTTCTATGCCTATTTCTCCTCTACTACTGTCTTTGACAACATGATATCCAAAGATTTAAATTCAGATTTATGAAGATGAGTTTCTCCCTTTCTGTAGTTCAGTGGGGGTTGAAGTTTTCTATGACCATAAAAGTATTTAGATGTTCTGCTGTGGTGCACCTAGACCAGCCTAGACACTGCATGTGTGGAAGCTGAGACACAAGATGGGAAAGTCAGGTAAAAGAAAAGAAAAAAAGACCAAAAACAAAACAAAACAAAAAAGAGAGAGAGAAAACAATGAAAAATGAAAAAAACAATTTCTTTAAAAAAAAAAAATGAAGCATACCGCGTGAAAGGGGCAGGGCCAGGCCTACCTCAGATGCATATGGATTCTGAAATTAGCCAGAGAAAGAAGAGGTCAGAGACAAGACAGTGTTTACAGATTTATAAAAAATACATATAAAAAAGGGAAAAATTTTGAGAGAAAGGGAGAGGGAGAGACTCTCCTGCCTCACTTGGTGTTAGTTCAGTGTTGGGCCAGAAGGAGAGGTTTGGGGAAGAGGCTTAGGCTTTTCAGTTAAAGGGGCAAGGCTGGCCCACCTCAAATGCATATGGATTCTCACTTCACTTGGTGTTGGGTCCAAGCAGTAATGTTAATCAGCTACTCAGATTAGTTACTTAGACTTTCTTTACAGAGCCATAACCACTTTCTTAGTCCAATCCTCTGTTGCTGAAGACAAGAAGTTTATTTGGCTCACAGTTCTGGAGGCCAGCAAGTCCAAGAGTGTGATACTATTACAATGGCAATTAAGTTTCAACATGAGTTTTGTCAGGGGTGTTCAACCATAGCTTTAACTAAGCTAGTCTGTTGCAGAAATATCAGGATAATACTCCATAGTGAATTAAAATGTAGCTAGACTGATTTTGAAACAAAGGGATTCATTTTCTAGCTTTGACTTACTATCTACTCACCCTGGATCACTCCTATGGATATCCCTTGTTTTCACTGTCACTGTAATATATAGTCTCATTTTATCTTAACTTCACTGATCATTTTTTTATTTACATTTTGCTCTGCAATCCATTTTAGAAAACAGTTAACAAATTAAAAAATTTAAGATCAGGTCAGCCTCGTGACCTAGAGGTTAAAGGATCCATATCCCACATGGCTAAAGGCATGGTTGGAATCCTGGTCCCAGTTGCTTTAAAAACATACCAGGTACATGCATGCCCAAAATTCAGATAGGATGGAGAGAAATGGAAGAGATAGGATTGTGGCTTGACCACACCCCATGGGGTGGTTTTTCCTTCTCTTGGTCACTTTCCCTGGGGAGTGCATGTATCTTCTGAGAAATTTTTTAAAAAGAAATTTTAAATCTAGTTTAAACACAGCCCTTTACATTCACCTCCAAATTAAGACCATTTATGTTTCTGTTCTTAGCTCTAATGCCCTTTTTGGATTGTCAGTACACATCTTGGGTCCATAAGGGCAGACAGTGATCATTTGTAATGTTTATAGTTCATAATTCTTTCATGTTCATTCTTCTATTTGATCCTTAATCGGCAAGGCATGTGTTATCTGTTTTGTAAATGAAATAACTGATAATCAGAAGGTTGAAGGTTCTTGGAAGAGTTTACATAATGAGTGAGTAGCAGAAAAATCAAAGTCTCATCTGAGTCTTCTGATTGTATATGTAGTAATGATGAAAACTCCCACCTTCAGCCTCTGAGTGTTTGAGAGTGCTGGTGATAAACCGACTGATCTTACTAAAGTATCTCGGCTTTTCTTTTTGGCTGTTTTTCCTACCTTTAAAGTGATAATACTGTTATTCTTTCATAGCATGGATACTTAGAACTGGTTAATGTCTGAGAGGATATGCTAAAATTGCCCAAATTTTAGGCCTGAGAGGTGCTTAAATAATTATCTAGTTTGATAGAAAAAAAAAAAAAACAGCTCACATTAATGTGTGTGTAATTATAGAGGCACTGAGATACCTATAAGGTTGCTAGGGAAATAGAGTAAGTTACCCAAGATCAAAGAACTAGTAAGAGCTGGAACTTGAACTTAACCTAGAGATGCAAATCTCCATTTGAGGGATCGAATCTTCTCTGAGAATCTGCTGAAGCTGAAGAACTGCTTAGTCAATAGAAATTCAGTTGCTTCTCCCTAGAAGAAGATGTATATGTAAAATATTTTACATATAACTTTGAGGATGTTTATGGAAGTGATTGAGCCCAGCCCCTTCATTCACCCTACAGGTGAACATATATGGTAACCTAAGAGAGTAAGAGAATTATTTGCTCAAAGTCACACGGATGAACTGAGACTAGGAACCAATCTCTTGATTCCTAGGGGGTGTGTTCTTTTCATACAGTGTGAGCTATCTAACCATTTGCAATCTGGTTAAAAAAAATTTTTTTGCAGGTTTTAAAGAACATGGAAATTTTTGAGGTATTCAACAAAGAATATTTTTGAGTCAGATAGTTTGCCTTTGGGTCCCAGTTTTCTGCTTCCCTCCATTGCCCCTGGAATTTTTGATGTATGGTTGCAGCTTTATTTATTTGTTTTCACAGAAATGTTTTACTGTGCAACAGTTAAGGGAGGTATTAGCTTCCTGAAGTTTTAAAATTCAAACTGTCAACATGAAATTTTTTTCCTAACAAAATTACCATATGACTTAGTAAACTAAAATTTTATCTCCCCCCCAGGGAGATAAATCACCCCCCGCCCCAGGGGAGATGGCCATGCCACAGTCTCTTCTCCTCTCGGGATCTTGGGCATGCAAGCACAAGTGCCCGGCATGAGTTTTAAGTCACTGGGTCCGGGACTTGAACCGCGGTTGCCTATGTAGGAGTCTAGCAACATAGCCATTACACTAACTGCTGGTCCCCAAATACTATAGTTAGTCTTGATGTAACAGAATCTATCAGTTTAAAGCTATTCACACACCAACTTGAGGTCATACTGAAGTCCTAATTCTGACTTTTGCAATGACCACTACCACCTCCAGTCTCAATAGTTGTATGGCCCAATTCAGTGGTGAGTTACTGAGTTTTTCCTAATTATAACTTAAAGCTTTTTTTCTCTGATTTCTCTTCTAGATGCTATTCCAAGTTCAGATCAGATTCGAATAGCTCCATCATTAAAAAGCCAAAGAGGGTCAGTGTGGACAAAGACAAAAGCAGCCTTTGAGAACTGGGAAGTGGAGGTGACATTTCGAGTGACAGGAAGAGGTCGAATAGGAGCCGATGGCCTAGTACGATCATTTCTTAACTTAGAAAATGCCTATCAATGCATGTACCACTGGCCTCTAACTGTTCTCTTGTTATTTTTTCAGGCAATTTGGTATACAGAAAATCAAGGCTTGGATGGCCCTGTGTTTGGCTCAGCAGATATGTGGAATGGTGTTGGAATATTTTTCGATTCTTTTGACAATGATGGAAAGGTATATATATATATATATTGTCAGTATTGTCATCTGACTTTAACATATCTGTCAGCAGAGTTAGGTGGTGAGAAAAATAGCATATTTAACACTTGTCAGTTTGATTATAGAGGACTGTCTAGACTAAGTTTTAAATACTTCAGTTAGTCTTTTTTTTTTTGGATAGGTTTTTGTCTTAGGGCGCATACACTCGCCAGAAAGGCAGAGAGAGACAGAAAGGGAGAAATCACCCCCCCCCCCAGGGGGGAAAGGGAGAAATCACCCCCCCCCCAGGGGGGATGGCCATGCCACAGTCTCTTCTCCTCTCGGGATCTTGGGCACGCAAGCACAAGTGCCCGGCATGAGTTTTAAGTCACTGGGTCCGGGACTTGAACCGCGGTTGCCTATGTAGGAGTCCAGCAACATAGCCATTACACTAACTGCTGGTCCCCAAATACTATAGTTAGTCTTGATGTAACAGAATCTATCAGTTTAAAGCTGTTCACACACCAACTTGAGGTCATACTGAAGTCCTAATTCTGACTTTTGCAATGACCAGTACCACCTCCAATCTCAAACTGCCCTGGGTGGTGTTTTTTGTTTTTTTGAGACATTTTTGCTATAGGGCACATGCGCTCACCGAGACAGATGGAGAGAGACAGAAAATGAGAAATCACCTTCTGGGGGATGGCCACGCCACAATCCCTTCTTCTCCATTCTGCTCTTGGGGTTTGGGGCACACACGCACATATGCCTGCCATGAGTTTTTAAGTCGCTGGGCCCAGGACTCGAACTGTGATTGACTACATGGGAGTCCGGTGACATAACCATTATGCCATCTGCCGGGTCCCTGTGTGGTGTTTTTAATTAATCTGATGGACATGCCTGAGTCTTTATATGTAGGCAATGAAACCAGTAGTGTTAAGACATAGCAGTTTGAGAACATCTAAGTGCCTAGCTACTAGTAGCTCACATTCATATGTTAATCGTTCCTTTCCATCAGGCCAATTCATCTGAATAATTTATCCTGAAACAGTTAAGAACAAAGTGTACTTAACTTATTGGAGACATTAACTTGTGGTTGAACAGCCTTAAAACTGATGATCAGACCGATGATTGTCCCTTCAGCAGATGGATGATCCTCCTTTTAGCCGCTTGGCCGCTACTGATTTTCAGGGGTCATTATTAGAAACTTAAAGGAGAACTTTAATAACTTCAATGCATGGCCATATTATTGTAAATTTTTAAGTCCTAGAATTTTTGAGATGTAAGAAACCTCATAGCACATCAAAATGATCTAGAATTCTTAGACTAAGGACTTTAAAATAAATGCATTCTTTTTATTTTTAGAAAAATAATCCTGCTATAGTAATTATAGGCAACAATGGACAGATACATTATGACCATCAAAAGTAAGTTTGTGTTTTTTTACATTATTCCTGATTTCAACCTCTCTGGAAACCTTATGAAATTTATTGTTTCAAATCCTAACACTTGCCAAATTTTTCTTGAGATGTATTTGGTAACTTGGTAGAAAGGTTTTATTTTAATTTGATTCTGTTTTAAGGTCTTTCTGTGGACCTCCTCAGATTTCAAACATAAAATGTGTTTTTTATATATTTTTTAAAGAATTATTTATTTAATATTACTTATTAATATTTTTATTTGGTACAGGGTTCATGCATTTGGGAGTTAGAGAGAGTACACACGCAAGCCTTCAGGTCCAGGACTCAAACCATGGTTAGCCATGTGGGGGTCCAGTGCCTTAACCACTATGCCATCTACTGGCCCCAAATGTGTTTATATTTAACCTGAAATTAAACATTATGTTTGAAGGTTTATAAAATGTCCCTGGCTCTCAATAAAAGTGGGCATTCTTTTTCATCTTTTTTAAAAAGATCTTCTAAAAATAAAGTTGATCCTTGACTAGAGTGAAGAGTAAGGCAATTTATGCCACCTTACTCAAACTTAATACTGCTTTTTTCACACTCAGTAGTTTTAGAGGTTCGAACACATACCTAGAGTGCATATACTTTACATATGTACATTTTTTAATTTTTGCATGTTGTGTAAGAATTAGCTTTGATCAGTGAGTAAAGAAAATGACTTAATCCATGTTTCAGTTTATTGTTTCCTGCCTTGGTGATTTTTGGCCCTGGTAGTTCATCACAATGGCCAGTGGAGCTATTTAAAATACAGGTGTCCAGACTCTCCTTTTGCTCCTATATCAGTTGACTTGGGGTAGAATCTAGGAATCTGCTTGATTTTGATTCTGCTCTATGAAGAACCACTGCTCTGGTCTAAGGAAGAATAGTGTAACTTTCCATTTCCATCAGCTCATGGTAGCCTTGGGCTCCTAATATTACCTACAGTTCTTACAGGAAAAACTTGTGTGTCAACTTTGTGTCTTAAGTAATTTGAGGTATCCCAAGATTTTATCATAACTTAATGCTGTTGCAGTTTTCCTGGGTTTTTAAATATTAAAGAACTTTTCTAAGTTTCTTGTTTATTTTCCTTTTTCTTATACTATAGTGATGGTGCTAATCAAGCTTTAGCAAGTTGCCAAAGGGACTTTCGTAATAAGCCCTATCCTGTCCGGGCTAAGATTATATACTACCAGAGAACACTGACAGTAAGTAACGTGCATGTAGTGATGATCAAATGAGCAATATTGAATGTGACTGTTTATTTGGAAATTGTGATAGAAATGAATTGCACTTGTTAAAACCCGGAAGAAAGGTAGTTCTGTGACACACTTTATATTGACTCAGTCTCAAACTCTAAGGTAATTTTGAGATCTCAAAATAGAGATTGTATCCAGTCTATTACGATTAACTTAGGGTTGAATTCCACTGTATTTATCATTCATATTAGACAATTTTGTTAGGGTCATTGGAAGTCACATTTACCGTCACATGGCAAAGCCCCACTACCAACCATGGTGAGCACAGGCCCACGTCTGAGTTCAAAGATCAGTGAGGCCATCCACATCACCCAAGTAGTGAGGCTCTGAGCCCTCCCAGCATTTCCCAGAACAGCAGCTCTGCAAATGGAGTCCTTAAAAAAGGATTTCTTAGTCAGATGAGATTGGGCACTACTGTATGTATTGGTACATTAAAGATTCCATTATAAAGGGCCCTTTATAAAAAGAAAAAGAGGGACCAGCAGCTAGCATAATGGCTGTGTTGCTGGACTCCCACGTAGTCGACTGACCGTGGTTCGCGTCCCGGACCCTGTGGCTTAAAACTCACACCAGGCGCGTGTGCGTGCATGCCCAAGATCCCGGGAGGAGAATGGAGGAGAAGGGATTGTGGCATGACCATCCCCCCTAGAAGATGATTTCTCGCTTTCTACCTCTCTGTCTGGTGAGCGCACGCGCCCTATAGCAAAAACCTCTAAAAAAAAGAAAAAGAAAAAGATACGCCTTTATTACATCCCATGTTCTTCAGACCTGCTTGGCCATAGGATTATTTTTGACCTAACATCTATGCTGACATAAAGCTAGTATCTGGAGTACTTGTTTTAGGTTTGCTGGACACATGGACGTGGCTTCATGGGTCACTTTTGTGTGCTCTCCCAGTCTCTTGTCCTTCTCTCTCTGCTTGGCAGAATCATTTTCAGCCTCAGACACACTAGTTTAGATCCCTTTTCCATCAGATTTCCCAGACATCAGTTTGTAATAATCTGTCCCTCCTAAATTCTTTTGTTTTTTTCTCTCTAATGCCTATTTGTCTTTTAGTTTGGGGGTGTTTTTTTTTGTTTTGTTTTGTTTTTTTAAGTTTTATTTAATTATTCCATGAACAAGAGAGACAGAGATCGCATGCCCAACAGGGTCTTTACACTATGATCCACTCCCAGCTTCAGCCGGCTTCAGGTCATGGGCTCGTGCTTGCCCAGATATCCAGGGAGGTCTAAGAACATCTTTTCTGGTTTGTTTTAATTTTTAAAATTTTTGTGAGAGAACATATGTGCTTGCCAGAGACAGACAGAAAAAAGAGGAGAAAAGCCAGAAAGCACTCCCATAGGGCATGCTTATACATTTTCTTCTCCTCCATTTCTTCCTCCTTTCAGGATTTTGGGCGTGCACGCAAGTGGCCAGCATGTTTTTCCAACTACTGAGTCTGGGACTTGAACTATGTCATCGTCTCTCTGAGATCCAGCCACCTCAACCATCTGGCCACAGACTGGTGCAAAGAATGTCACATTTTATTGCTGCACCACCATCTAGCCCCTAGAAGTTTTCTAGTTTTAGCTTTATATTTAGGTCTATGGTAGTGGTTACTTTATTTGCTTATTCTAAGTTTATATATTTATTTATTCTATGATCAAGAAAAACAGAGACAGGCAGCCCTAATAGAGTCTTGAGGCCACAGTCCACCCCCAGCTTCAGACAGCTTTGGGTCATGGGCACATACACATGTGTCTGGCATGTTCAGGGAGGTCTCCAGACAGGAACCCAGAACCCTGCCAATGTGGGTCAGCCTTGCAGAGCATGACATTTTACTGCTGTGCAACTGTTGGCCCCTTGTTTACCCTTTGAGATGTGTCATCTTGAATTGCTAGTTAACTGTATGTTTATGTAGCACGTCTTATAAATATGATTATCAAATTCTCAGGGTAGGCATTCTATCCTACATTTCTCATGGTCCCTAATACTGTGTCTAAGGTAGGTGCTCAGCAATGCTTACTAAATCAGTATTTGCACCTTCAACCTGTCCCACTTGTTCTGCATCGGAGGGAAGCAAGAAATGCTGTTGGTGGCGGAAATAGTCCTAAAAATGGTTTGAAACTATAAGGTGAAAATGGGAAGTTGTTAATGATCTCAAAGAAATGTTGCTGGCATTACTCAGTGGACATATTTTTTCTACACCTTATACCACAGCCCTAATGTCCCCCCAACTCATAGTTCAATGATTGTGTTACAGCCTTTAAAAGAAATAATAAATAAATTAGGACCCAACTGTGCTCACACACAGGTGATAACATGCCTGAAAGCTGGAACCGCATGGGAGGCGCAGGTTCGGTTCTGGGGCAGCCTAAGCACACGGCGCCATTGCGTATGCCTGTGACCCTGGCTCACCGAAAAGTGGGGGCAGGAACATCATGACACAGCAAGACCCTGTCACAAATTCCTGTCTTCCCTTCCCCTCCCTCTGCCTCCCTCTCTTTTTCATGTGTTGGGGTGGAAGTGATTAAAATTAGACAACAAAAAGCCTGATGGATTTCAGTTTGTTAGGATCAGGGGAAAAAATACTAAAAGGTGAAAGTTTCTAGTATTGACGTTATAATGTAATTGCCATCTTTTTAATAGCCAAAGCCAAATATCTTACTGATGTTGATTCTGATTTGAAAGACTCTATGGAACAGGATTGTAAATGATGTAAACTGAAATAGGAATATTACAGGTTGAGCATCCCTAATCTGAAAATTTAGCCCCAGGGAACCAGCAGTTGGCATAATGGCTATGTCACTGGACTCCCACGTGGTCGACCGCAGTTCGCATCCCGGACCTGGTGGCTTAAAACTCACGCCGGGCGCGTGTGTGTGCGTGCCCAAGATCCCGAGAGGAGAGTGGAGGAGAGGGGATTGCGGCGTGACCATCTCCCCTGGGGGGTGATTTCTCGCTTTCTGTCTCTATGTCTCTCTCTGTCTGTCTGGCGAGCGCA